TTAGGGGAGTAGCATGCTCTACTTCCTGAGACCCTTGGGAAGAGGCATCCCAGGAATCAATCCCACTCCACTCTCTTCGGACTCGTGTAGTTCCCGTGGCCCTGCATGAGGCCTGGTTCAGGTTTCCCAGGGGATCAGGCAGGCGGCCTCTGTGCCCCTGACCTCGCAGTGACCTCGCCCCCATGACCAGGTCAGGCCGAAGTCGCATGGTTAGGAGTGAGACGCGTGTAAGCAGTGGAGAAGCGGCGGTGCGGAGGGAGGATGAGCCAAGCTCACGTCGACAGCTGCGGGGATGTGGCACTGCGGCGCGGAGAGCGCAGCCCCAGGTAATCCATCCCTGGGCCCTGGCTGCGGCGCTCGACTCTCCCCCTTCGTGCCTCTGTGGCCCAAAGTCAAAGCCTACACCCCGCGCCAGGCAGAAGACGGGTCGGAAAGGACGATGGAGTTGGGACTGGAACAGACGTCTGCGACCCAGGCAGGACCCCAGACTCAAAATGCGACATTACAGCGACGCCGGGGTCTGAGTTGAGGCGGAGCCGGAGACGGAGGTTGGGGCTTAGGACGAGGTGCTTGAATACGGGATCTGATCTGAGACCCACGCGAGGCTAGTGCTTGCGGCCCAACCAGCCCGGAACCCAGAACGGAGCCGGGGTCAGAGCCGGGGTAAGAGTCTGGAGCCCAGCTCAGGCTCAGGCCCCAGGGAGACGCCTGCACGGCTGGAGTTGGTGTAGGGTTGGAACCCAGAGCCAGAGCGCTCTGGAGATGCAGCCAGATCGCGGCTGGGATCCAAGCGAGTCCGGGCCAGATCCCGGGACATCAGAGCTCAACCGAGGCGCCCGAGGTCAGAACTGGAGCCTGAGACTCAGGCTGAACCCGAGACGGAGCCAGAGACGCGACCAAAACCGAGTGGGCCGCAGGAACCAGAGGCGGATCTCGGGCCCATGCTCGTGGCAGCTCCAGCGCACGGCCTGGAGCTCCTGGTTTGTGGCGCTGAGAGCGGCAGGCTGAGACCTTCGGCGTACCCAGAGTGCACTCGGGACATAGGGGCTCCGGAGCCAGGCACCACACGCCGCAAAGCCGGCCTCCATAGGCGCGGGCGGGGGGAGGGGGGGCCTGCTGCGGTGACACTGCTGGCCCAGCGACCGAAGCTTACCTGAAGTAGTCCATCTTGCAGAAGATTTCCTTATTCTTGATGTAGCAACTGTTCTGCTGCCTCAGCGACGTGCGACACACGGAACATTCGAGGCACCGCACGTGCCAGATGAGGTTGTTGACCTGGGGAGCAGCGGGAGTAGCGGCGGCTCAGCGCAGGCCTCTTTTCACGTTGGTCCCCAGCCTCCCCGGCTCCATTTGCAGACAGAGGCACTGGAGCTCTGTCGTGCATGTGACTTCCCCACTTTTCGTCTGTAACACTGAGGCTCAAGGAGGCAGAAATAAACCCGTCCCATTTTTCAGACCGGACCCCGGGAACGCAAAGAGACGCTCAGACTTGCCCAAAGCCGCGCAGTCAGGCTGCGGCTGAGCCAGGATTCGAAATTAAGCGGACCTGGTGCCGGCGTTGCTTCCCTGCAGCCCTCTGGGCTGCAACTCACATCCCACCAGCACACACGCAATACCCTGCCTGCCCCCGGGGTCTCACCTTGAGCAGATACCGATCCAGGATCTCGAGGCCGCAGCTGGAGCAGATGTTCTTGCCGGTGGACGGCACGGAGGAGGCGGCAGAGGGCGGTGAGCAGACAGATGGCGTGCTGGGCGTACAAGGGGAGGCCCGACCCTCGTCCTTGTCCAGAGCGCCTGCCAGGGTCTCGGCGTCGGACTGAGCCTGCAGTGGCGGAGAGAGGGAGGGCTGAGCGCTGAGCTGAGCGCTGAGCCCTGGGCCCAACGTCGCGGCGGCCTCAGAGACAAATCTGGGGGCCCCAGCGCACCTGAACTGACAACGAAATCCCTACGAGACGCCGCGCCCTGGGCTAGAGAATAGGAATAGAAGGGCCTATTGGAGAGGAAAGGACGGCCCCAACTTTTAATACGCGCGTCCTGGGTGCCAGGAACGGTCAAATCCCACATTCTCGGCCGGAAAACTGAGGCTCAGAGAGGGGCGGCGCCCTTCGGCAGTCCCCCAGCGCATGGGCCTAGGTTCGGGGCCAAAAGCCAGGCCAGGTCCTCAGGGCCGGACCGCAGACCGAAGGCAAGGCCGAACGAACTCACCATGGCGGGCGGCGCGGTCCCTTCAAGGCAGCGGGTGGTCGCTTTGCAGCCGGACCCTGGCTGGGCCATCACCTGGGGGAGGGGGCAGGGAACGCAGGCGGTGGCGGCTGCAGCACTGGCTCTGCGCAGCCTGAGCCCAGCGCCTCCCTGCGCCTGTTATATAAACCGGCGCGGAACAATGAATCCTAACTTTGTAGTGGGCATTTAAAGCCCTTCCCCACAAAAGCGGTGTCTCTCTAATGAAGCAATTTGAATTTGGATTGGATTTTTTCCCTCTCTCTCCCCCTCTCCCTGCACTTAACCCGTGGCTCTTGAAGTAATCGCTTAGTTCCCTTGCAATCCAAGCCTCCGAGGGGGAAAAAAAACACGCGCACACACACAAACTACCTGCAATTAGAAATTGTCGTGAATGCCCAAGATAAGAGGTAGCCAGAGTGTCAATTCCAACTGTCAATCAGTGAGATCCATCAGGCCGCCCAAAGAATTGCAAATTTGATTTTTTAATGGTAGTAATTAAAAATCGAATTTTTTCTCCCTCCACCCCCCCCCTCCTCACTCCCTTCTCCTCCTCTCGACACAAAATGCAAAAAGGAGAAAAGAGAGAAAGAAAGAAAATAAAAAGGAGACGGGGGGAGGTGTTTGAGAAAATAAAAAGCGGAGCGCTGGGAGCATCAGCCTCTCCGCCCCGCGCGCGCAGCGAAATTGACGCGGTGATATTGACACGGATTCAGGCGCCTTTCGAGGGCCACTCGGAGGGAAACCAGGAGCAAAATGGGGGCGAGATCCGGGTCGAAACGGGGCCAAGAAAAGAAAACAGAGGCGTTCAGGAGGAGGAAAAGGCACCCTCCAGTCCCTGGGGGCGCCGGGGACCGATCCCGCGTCGGGATCCTCAGCGTTGCCTCCGCACAACCCCCGGCTCATCCGCGCTATCAGCGCCTATTCAGACGGACAATACCCGCCTCGCCTCCTCTTGATTCGCCTGTGTCTTCGCTAAATCGCTTTTTGAGAAATTCCTCCAACATTTGCATAATGTGTTCCCACTTTCCGCGACCCCCCCCGCGTTCGCGCGTGCTCCCACACTCACAGGCGCACCCCCTCACTCTTGCTCCCCACCCCAGCCGGGCCGGGCTGAGTCCCGTCCCCTGTCCGACCCCAGCCGGGGCCGCTCGCTAGCTCGCTCACCTGGTCGGCGGTGGGGCCGCCCTCGGCCGGCAGCCGGCAGCCCTCGGGCAGCGCCGGGGCGGCATTCTCGTGCTTCCAGTACATGGGCCAGGGAGCCGCGGGCTCGCGGGCGCGCAGGGCGGAGAGCCGCGCCAAGGGGGGCCACGGCCGCAGTGGGAACAGAGGCTGAAGCAGGAGCAGGAGCAGGAGGAGAGCGGAGGCGCCGGTCCTGCCACCCCGGGCCCGGCCCCAGCCCCCGCCCCCGGCCCGCGCGCAGCCCCGGCCTCCCTGGCTGCCGCCGCCGCTGCCTCGCAAGAAGGTCCCGACAAACTTGGAGAGGCCCCCGCCCCCTCCTTCTCCTCCTCCTCCCGCTTCTCGTAGTCCTCCTCCTCCTCTCCCTCCTCCCCCTCCCCCTTCTCCTCCCCCTCTTCTACTCCCCCCTCCAGCTGCGGCGTCGGCCGCCCTGCCGCTGGAGCCCCGCTCGGTTCAAGATGAGTCATGCGTGACCAATCCCCTCCCCGCCAAGGGAGCGCGAGACACACACAGCGAGGCAGCGACCCAGAGACACACACACACACAGTCATATAGACACACGGAAACTCAGAGCTGCTGACAGAAAGACTGAGACATGCTGACATACAAAGGCACCGGCAGGCACACAACTCTCACACTGCCCCTCCCTCAAGGGGCACCCATGGCCTTCAGGCACAGCTCCACTCACAGATACAAGAGGGACCCGTGGTCACACACCATCTGCCTGAGAGGGATTCCTATAGTCATACAGGATGATCTGTTGATGCAATCCCACTTCTGGTACATTTGTATACATGCTGAGGCAAATGATGGCCCGTCCATATCATTTCCACCAGCACAGGCATCCACCCGTACCCTCACACACCTGCACAGATACTCTGGTCCAGAACAAGCAGAGAGTGCACCAGCTCCCAACCACTGACTGGGATTGGGCTGGGGGTGGGATGGGGTGGGATGGGGTGGTGTTCCCCTGAGTTCTCCTGGGAGGGATTGCTTGGGATATCCTTCCCTTCAGGATGTGCTGAGCCATCTCGCCTTCTCTAGGGTTCTACTGATAGTGAGAGAGAGAGGTGGGGAAGGCAGGGAGGCCCAGGCACTTAGAGAGGAGACACAGCCCCCAAACACACAGGCACAAAGCCCTCAAACTCAAAGACAGAGCCTTCCACACACAAACACCCTACAACACACACACACACACACACACACACACACACACACTCACACACACGTGAATACTCAGAACCTCAGCCCCCTTCTCCACAAACAAACTGAGCCTAGGGAGACACATGTAGATATACATTCTCTTCTAAAAACAAACATGCACACTCAGACTTAGACCCAGTCCAGTAGACACAACATGCCACCTCTGTGCCATCACACATACCATTACCTCCCTAATTGCCCTCATTTACAAATGTAAACACCCCACACAAGTATTCTTACACTTATACACACATCCATACTCAGAGCACAGACTCCATAATGCTCCAAACCCAGTGCTCCAAACTCCTGTCCTCTACTCAGACACCCACAGATAGGCACACACATCCCCACAGGTGGCAAAATAACCATTTCTAGGCAGAAACAGTATCCACAGACATAGGATTCCCAGTTTCAGTCATGCACACACGCAGGCACATCCTAACAGGCACAGGCAGACAAGGGTATCTGCACGTCAGCATCCCCCAAAGATACAAATGTCTGTTCTTTACAGACATCAAAGTACACAGAAAGAGCCGCAGCCCCAGCCCCAGCTCCCACCCCCTTCATTCCAGTCATTTATGGCTCTCAGACACAGAAATTCAGAGTGAAAAGTTTCTCTCTGAACCCTAATCTTTTATACTAAGAGCACAATTGCAATGTGGAAGCTGGTGAAGCATGTACATCTAAACACACATACACGCACATACATGTGCACCCTCAAACACCCACATGACCACAGACAAACTACCTCTTTCCCCTTAAACATCTCTTTTGCACATAATAAAGCCAGCTACTGCTCCTGGATACTTTAATCCATAACAGGCTTAGCGTTTTATTGTACAATCATGACTTCATTTTCTTTTCACAATAACTTTATGAAGTAGTGTCTCATAAGTGTACCCATTTTACTGATGAAGAAACTGAGGTTCAGAGAAATCATGTGATATGTCCAAAATGGCGCTGCATGGCTAATTGCCAGAGCCAAGAACTCAAAACCAGGTTAATCTGACATCAGAGCTTATACTATTGAATTCTAGGTTGCATACGAGTACGTGACCATGTCTGTTCTCTGCATATACACACATAAATGCACACACATTTATTAGTAGTAGTAGTCAAAAGACCTGGATACGACTCCTGGCCTCACCACTTACGGGCTAAGCTTTCTCATCTGCAAAATAGAAACAATGACAGGCAAACCTTCATCTCCCTCATCTCCTCCCCTCCTGGGTGACTGGGGAAAGCAGGAAGTCATGGGACATTATACAGTGCTGCACATCTGCCAGATGTGTGAGTGCAGGACTCCAGAAAAGGAGGAGACCTTCAGGGTGATACTGGGTGTGCAAAACTTCCCAGGCAAGGGGTGTGGCGGAGGCTTGAGCTGGGAACTAGAGGGCAGATGACATTTGGATGGACTCGGGGGAGAAAAGGAAGTATTCCAGGTAGAGAGATGACTGCAAAGGTGCAGAGGCTGGACAAACAAGCTGTGGCACTCCTACGAGAAGGATTGTGAAGCATGCACTCTCTGGATGATGAAAATGATATAACTACCTTTTATTGAGCATTTATGTGCCAAGCACTGTTTTACCTGCATTTTGCTCTTTAAACCTCGCAGCAACCCTGCAAGGAGGTTAAATTACTATCTGTATTTTATAGTTGAGGAAATAAGCATATAGGAGCCTCATTTCATGCTCTAGCACTCACACTACAGAACCCAAACTCTTACCTACTATGCAATCCTGCTCCGGAATTCTGATTAGGTGCTCAGAAAAGCAAAACTGGAAGAAGAGGCAGTAAAGCACGAAGACTCGAGCCAGACTGCTGTGGCACTCCTCTTGGCATTGCCCCCTATGACTGGGGTAACCCTGGACAAGTTATTCAGCCACTCTTCAGTTTCAGTTTCCTCCCCTGTAAAGTGGAGATGCTGACAGAGTTCACTTCTTGTGGTTGTGAAAATTAAGCAAATGGTCCATGGAAAAGGGCCCTGAGAACCATCCCTGGCACGCACAAAGCAACCAATATTAGCCGTCATTACAGTATGGACTAGCTGCACTGTCCCATTGTTATTCTACTTGGTGCCATTTCAAGTACTTCATGGAGCAAGGCAGGGCATAAATCAACCAAAGAATCAAATATTTTCCTGAATAGCTTACCTAAGGAAGCTGAAGAACCATTATTTCAACCTAGGGCTTGCCTGACTTCAAAGAGAACAGAAACGAAATTACTTTGGAAGAGAAATCTTTCTTCCAACAACTCCTGACTCCAGCGGGAAAAAGAGTCCAGACAGGAGTGACCTGGGTAAAATCAGGATTAGCAAATTTAGTACATCCCACCAGGATACTGGGTTTCTTCCTACAGGAGACGGGGCTTTGGTTTCCTTACTTGCAAAATAGGGATAAAACACTTAGCTCTCAGGATTGTGGTGCCATTAACTATATTCTAAAAGCTAATATTTAAGAAGTGTTGCCTCGATTCCTGGCACTGTATAAGCACCTTACACGTATGACGTCATAAGTCGTCTATATATGCAATGTCATCTAGCTCTCACCTCAAACCTCCTCTTGGTTACTAAGCAGGAGGTGGCCATCTCATCCTCCGAAGTGAATTTTACCATCTTCCTCCACCTGAGTCTAGGGCCGAGGTTTGGGTTTGGAAAGAGGCTTTATGAGTAACTGGATAATTCTGTGGGAGCGCCCCCAGCAGCGGTTCCGCCCCGCCGGGAAGTAATTCTAGGAAGGTAATGTGAGCTGGGGGAGGCTGGAAACCCAGCTTTACATTTATTTACTCTGACAGCTAAATTGGTGAGCAAGGGGGGGAAATCAGATGAAAGCCATTTCAGAGTAAATACTAAATACAAAATTTAAACATTCAGGTTGTGACAAATGGGACGGGGCCAGCGGGAAGAGACACGGGCAGCACACTCCTCCCCACTCAGGAGCTTATCCTCGCCTTGTCACCTTCCGGGACATTTCCTATTTGACTAGCGGAAAGAGCATGGACTGGGGTTATAGCTGCATGACTCTAGGCAAGAAATTTACCTCTCCTGGCCTCAGTGTCCTCATCGGTAGAATGTGTGTGTGTGTGTTCTTTGAATCAGATGATTGGGGAAGTGATGGAGCGTGCTCTGGCTTTGGAGTCAGAGAGGCCTGAGGTCATATCCTAGCCCAGCCACTTCCTGGCTGGGTGAACTTGGAAAAGTCACTTATCTGGACCTGAGTTTCCTAATCTTTGGGGATAATATCAACTTCAGAGGAGTAAATGAGATAATCAGTGTGAAGGGCTTTTCTTAGACTTCAAAGCTATTGTCACACAAAGTCCCCTACTAGTTCTGGCATCCATGGCATCCATTTATGTTGGGAGACATTTATGAAGCACTTCATGCCAGGCTCCAGGTAGGCAGAGGAAACAGAGTAAACCATCCTGGTCCCTGCCCAGGAGGAACTGCCCACTGGGAGGGAAAGAGTGCCAGCTCTGTGACAGGCGCTTCACAACAGGGAGCACAGGTGGTACAGGAGGTGGTAGAGAAGCAAGGAGGGGCATTTAACCTGGCTTAAGGGTAGGTCCCAGGACAGGCGGCCCGGAGGTGACCTTTCAGCGAAACCTTACGAGTATGTATGAGGCAGGCCAGGCCTCAGGGAGTTGGACCAGAATGGGAGAGTGGGTGCCCACTTAGATGTTTACTGGGGCAATGTCGGGAGATGAGGCTGGGGAGGGAGGTAGGAGCCAGATCGTGGAGCCCTGAGCGCTGCATTGAGGAGTCTGGCATCATCCTGAAAACTCTGGGTCTACGAGCCAACAGTTCTACAGGAAGCAGCATCCTGTGTCTGGAGCTGCAGTGTGGCCCAGCGGTGGTTAGGGATACTGGGTTTAGAGGCAGGTAACCTGATACCTGGTTACCTGATTCTATTACACACTGCTTGTGGGACCTAAGGTGAGTGACAAACTCTATGAGCCTTAGTTGATTCAACCACAAAACAGGCATTAACAGAGAACCCCATTTGTGAGTACAAGTGCTGTGATGATTCAAAGGGACCAGGACGCATCTCCGAGAGCTTGGCACCAACC